AAAGTAGTTGGACTAATCCTCCCACTTGTTAGCATATGAAGCCAATAAAAACTCACAACCCCACACCTCGTGGCCGCTCTCCCTTCTGAGTGAGACGGACCCCCCCCCCACTCTTGAATTCCTTCCTGCGCAAAGCCAAGGACCCACACTTGCATCCCAGGGACTCACTGGAGACCTGGGACACAGCCATCCTCTTGTGCCCTGTTTTCCTGTAACAGATCTATAAAATGGGCTGGTAAGACGTCGGGAAGGAGCTGCTGGCCTCCAAATGCCCAGAGAGCCCAGGTGGGAGGGGAACTGGACGGAGGCTGAGTTGGAGGCCAGAGACCAACTTCCCTGACCACTCAGTGCTGCTCAGGAGGCCTGCCAGTGTCGACCACTCACAGAGCACCAGAAGGGACACACACTCCAGTTTACCCAGCATGACAGACGTGGATGTAATCCTCACTTCGGATTTAAGGCCGAAGAAGTGGGGGGGGGGCCCTCCAGGGAGTTACTGCTCCATCCTGGCACGTCCTTCCGGCTCTGTCAAGGAGAGCTGGTCCTCAGCTCCCGGGGAAGAGTGTTACTTCCCCATGAGTCAGAAGTCTTTGACCTGAATCCTGACTCAGCCCACCACCTGTGCGTCCGGGGCCAAGGACGAGGAGCCTCAGTCTAGGTCAACCTGCTTCTGTCAGGCCATTTACGTGCCAGGCGTGGACTATGTGGGCCCAGCAAGGGGTGTGGTGAGTCCACAGACGAATAAAGGTCCCTGTCCTTTCCAATTCATTATTTCCTCTTGACAGCCATCAAATAAGAAGGCACCAGCCATAGGGGGAGGGTACAGCTCAGTGACAGAGTGTGTGCTTATTTAGCATGCACGCGAGGTCCTGGGTTCAATCCCCAATACCTCCATTAAACAAACAAACGCCTAATTACCTGACTCCCCCAATAATATATAAATATTAAAAAAATGCACCATACAATTCTCCTCAAAGTAATCAGCCCAACAGAAATGTTAGGACTTTTCATGGTACTGGACCAAAGCAGGGTCTCCTGCCTCGTTCTGTGAAGTCACAGCAGGTATTCTATTAAAACAGAACCACGGGGGAGGGTGTAGCTCAGTGGTAGAGCGCGTGCTTAGCATACACAAGGT